GGACTGTACATTTGCACAGGTACAGCAAAGCTCTCTTGAGCTGAGCTGTCTGAACTGTGGGCACTGTGGTTTGTGCTGCCCGTGCTGGGATGGTCAGTGAGTGACCCCAGACAGGGGGGACAGGACCTGTTCCTGCTGRGGACACGTGGAGGAGAGGGAAAAGGGTCAGATATCCTGAGRAGCTTGGCCAAGGCTGGAGGCACATGAGGAACCTGTGCCGGGCACATCAGTGGTGCCTCAGCCCCAGGAGAGCTGGCCCAGGGCACTGGGGCTGCCAGGTTTGGTGACAGAACCTGTGGCCATTGCAGGATCAATGCCTCCTGCCTGGAACAGCTCCCAGGGCCACCCCACCCTGCCCCGGTGCCTTCCTGTGCCTGCGAGTGGCTGTCAGTCCCCTCTGCCTCGGGATAAAATCTCTCAATAGCTGTTTGCCTCCAGGGCTGCGGGTCTGTGTTTTGCTTCCAGCCGGAATTGGCTTTGATTCGGGCTCCAGCTGTTTGGCAGCATGCTGAGGAGAGGGGATGAGGAGCAAAGGGATCTCCTGTTCCCATGTCCCGGGCTCGGTGTGAGCTGCAGGCACGGACACAGCAGTGCCAGCTGTGCCAGGGTCACAGCACTGCCTCGGTGCCACCCGGCTGGCGACACTGCAAAGCAGAGAATGTGGCCATGGAAAGAAAATTGCTCTTTGTGAGGATTTCCTGGTGTGCCACAGAGCCGGAGCTGAGAGCAGGTGCTGGAAAGGAACGGCAAGAGGGGCAAAGAGCCTCCAATAACCGGTGAGGCAGAGAGGAGCCATCCTGTGAGATGAGAGAAAGGCAGGGGAGCGCTGTGCCAGCCGGGTGTCCCCGCTCCGCCRGCCCGGGGCTGTTTGCTCACCGCAGTCACGTCTGTTTGGGTGTCTGCGCCTCCCGGGCGGCGGCTCCGGCACCGGCACCGGGTACCACTCACCCCGAGCACCCCTCATCCCCGGTACCACTCACCCCCTGAGCATCCCTCATCCCCGGGTACCCCTCACCCCGGGTACCCCTCACCCCCTGAGCATCCCTCATCCCCGGGTACCCCTCACCCCTGGGCACCCTCATCCCCGGGTACCCCTCACCCCCGGTCCCGGCAGCCGGCACCCCCGGTACCCCCGGCGCGCCCCTCGCCCCCTCCTCAGCTCCGGGCAGGGCTCCGCTCGCCGCCGCGCCTGGAGAGGAGCGGGAGGAGGAGGGAGAGGAGGAGGAGGAGAGGGTGGTGATAAGGGGAGGGTGGTGATAAGGGGAGGGTGGTGATAAGGGGTTTGCTGCGTCGCCTGTTTCTGTAGCAGCGCACGGCTGGTGGGGAGTGCGCGGTGCGCTCATCGCTGCCGGAGGATCCTTGTGCTGCTGCTGCTGCTGCTGCAGTGCTGCTGCCGGCCCGGCTCACACCAACCCCGGCTCAAATCAGCCTGGCTCACATCAGCCCCGGCTCACACCAACCTCGGCTCACATCAGACCCGGCTCACATCAGCCCGGCTCACATCAACCTCGGCTCACATCAGACCCGGCTCACATCAGACCCGGCTCACATCAGCCCTGCCTTCCACCCACCGCCTTTCACCGAGGGAGCCCGGGGAGGCTGCGCTGGGCTGGAGGATCGCAGGGAGAGCATCCCCGAGGGATCGGCAGCCCAGGGCCGGGCATCCGCACCCCATCCCGCTGTCTCCAGCACCGCTTGCTCCGGCTGCCCTAAGGGAGAAGAGGGAAGAGGATCCAGAAAAGCCCTGCAAGAGCACAGCCCCTGCTGGAGTCTAACAGGTGTTTGCCGGGATTTGAATGGGGAGGGGACGGGTGGGCAGRAAAGTTCACTGGAGAAGCCGGGGCCAGGAGAGATGCGATGATCCTGCACCGAGTGGATGTGCCGTGTCTGCATGCAAATAGCGCGTCTGGAGAAGCTCGCAGGGATGGAGTGATCTGCGTGATCTCCGTGGAAACGCTCACCTCTGCCKGCAAACTTTCCTTGGCTACAAGTTGGCAGGAATAAACCAGCACCAGGAAGTCACAAGGGAAGATCTCAGAGGACAGAAAGGCTCGAGTTAAACTGTTGAATCCGCACTCGGAGCTTGGTGCGGGCACCCACGCTGTGCCCGGGCCCCGCTGGCACTGGGAG